ATTATTACGTATCCAGTCATCCCAGAAACCGCTTGGCCAATCAGGCCTTAGTTCATTCCACAGTTCCCTGAAACATTTCAAATACTTCGTTTTTTATGCGTTTTGTGTTATGCAACAGCTGTACAAAACGTATATTATCACGGGTTTGTCTGTGTGTGTGTGTGTGTGTGTGTGTGTGTGTGTAGTAACTTGTCCGCAATTTTCAACTCAGCAAATACAAAAGCTAGGAAGCTGAAAATTTAGAGGTATGTTCCCACTCATGTGCGATCCTGCAAGTTTAAACTCAGCTACCCTTGACCGCCAGTAACACGTACGGCATCGTAAAAGTTTTGGCGGATAGAATTATTATCACGGGAACCACAAAAGCTAGAAAGCTGGGATTTTCTGGGCATGTCCCTTGCCCAGGTGCGACCCAGAAGATTTAAATTCTTGCTTTCCCAATCAGCAGGTAGCAAGTACGGCTCCGTTAGAGTTTAGACGGGTAAATTATTATCTCAGGGACCACAGAATCCAGGAGGCTGAAATTTTGTGGTAATGATATCTGCCCGTGCACGACCTTGCAAATCCAAATTCAGCGTTCCCGCGCTCTCGGGTATCACCTGCGGCCCCATGGAAATTTTGGCGAGAAAATTATTATCTCGGGAATCATAAAATTCAAGGGCCTTACCCACATCCAGTCCCGTAAATTTAAATTCATCTTTCTCGCGCGCTCAGGTCACTTACTGCCCCGCGAAAGTTTCGGCAGGAATAATTATCGGAGCAACCACGGAAATTGGGAATCTGAAATTCTATTGCGATATCCCCTATAAAAGTACGACCCCAGCAAATTTGGATTCAACATCCACGCACTCCTGGATACTATGTTACGATCCGTAAAATTTTTTACAAAGAAATTGTCTCTTAAACTGCAAAAGCTGAGAAGCTGAAATTTTAGCGTGACATCCCCTGCTCAAGTGCAACTCTGCAAATTTTTAATATCTCCTTGGAAGTTTTGGCGACAAACTCGTTATCGCGTATCACGACCTTAAAAGTTAATAAACTAGACTAATGGCGTGCATTGTGTGTGTAGAAAAATCTGGTTAGATATGCATTTATAAGAACATGAATTAACTAGAGTAATACAACGTAAAATAAAATACAATACAAAAGGGTGGGGAGGTTCTTGGGAGTCG